GATCGCGTTAGAACACAATAGATCGCGTTAGAACGCTATAGATTGTGGTAGAATACAATAGATAACGTTAGAAAACAATAGATCACGTTAGAACACAATAGATCACATTAGAACACAATAGATCACATTAGAACACAATAGATCACGTTAGAACACAATAGATCGCGTTGGAACACAATATATTGACAAGTTATTTGAGCAGTAGCATTGGGCGCGCCAGACGTATGCACATTGTGATCGGGTGACAGATACAAGCAATCAATCAAGCTGAAGATGCGTGCAGTGACAGCGGGGCTAATCGAGCAATCTATAGTTTATGATCGGTCATGGCTGCCTGAGCCATAGTTTATGATCGGCCATGGACGCCGATTTAAGGTCGAGTTGGCTGATGGAGAGCTGGAAAAGACGCCGATATCTCGAGCTGAAAGGCCCTACTTTACAGCCTGGTAAAATGGGGTAACTTAGACTACTTTTTTTTATTTAAAATGCCATTTTTTTACTAGCTAAATTAAACTTTAATTAAAATGTGCAAAATACAGGTCTATACTCTAGGTTCACTCACCATAAATTGCTAGCTCCAGGGTTGGCGATTTTTTTGATTTTTTTAAAAAAATCAAAAAAATAAAAAATCAATGATTTTTTTGATTTTTTCATGATTTTTTTGATTTATTTGATTTTTTTGATTTTTTCAGCTTTTTTGTCTTTTTTGAGGTGTTATTTTTTATGTTGCAATTAGCCTGCAAACAATAACAGTATATGGATCATAATGGATGGCTAAAAAGGGCACTTATTGCCTCCAATAATGGCCAACAGGACTAGGTGGTGTTTACCACTTAGGGATTTTTGGGTAAACAATTATTGATGTCTATTCATTAGCTTTGTAAAGTTTGTATGGAGCAAGGTAATGAGCTAAATATTGACCATTTAACTGGCTTCAATATACTAAAACACTTCAGGAATGCAGATCTCCTAAACATTGAAGAGTCACATAACAGATAGGTAGCTGATTGCACAGTGCACAGCACTATCAATAGATCTACTAGTTTCATGTCCTATAAATCTACCAGACTCTACCTTCTATACACACCA